TCTTCCGTAGGGTTCATTATGTGTTTTGGTCATGCTTTTGTTTCTACGCTATTTCTTTCAAGTCAAATTTTCCAAAACAAGATTGGAAATGAAAGAATGATTTGATAGTGTGCATGTGAGATTGTGCTATTTATGATAGCATGTAACTTTGATGGATACATCATTATGTTATAGATTATTTTGATAGCTAATGAGTTGGCTAACAAACACGTAGGCCTTGTTTAATATAATATTTATTTATATATTTTTATTTTTTATTTCTAAAAATAAACTAATATTTATTTGTGGTTTGAACTTTTACTTGTTATTTTATTTATATGTTTTGGTTTGAACAAAATATATTTGATATGAGATAACTTGTTTTATTGTATTTAAATAAAAATAAAAAAAAACAACCTTTATATGTTAAGGGTGTATTTAAAAATAAGCTAATTTATAATAAAAAAATAGAAGCATGCAAAAATTGATAATAAATAAAATTATTTAAAATAAAGCAATAAAAAAAGATCGCAGACATGTCCAACATGTTTTAATCAAATAACCAAACATGCTTGGCTTCAAACCTAAATATAAACAAAAGAAAATAAAAATGGTCCCAAAAGACCCCTTCAATACTGCTTTAAGCATGAGATTGAGATTGAGAATGTCAATTGTGTCCATATAGGTGTTTGTTGAAATGCATGCAATCAAGGCATTTTGATGTACATGAATGAAAATAATATATAATCTTAACTTAAAGTGGAATAAATGATATTAATGCTCTTATTTACATGGTTGATGCAAAATTTTAACTTACATAAAGGCAAGTGATTCATGTGTACTATCATATTAAATATATTATATGATATGAGTATATATAAGATTGATATGATAACATTGTATTAATTCATATTGCTTCATCTTTTTCACTAATTAAATTTTATAGGAGGTGATGCATAATCTACAACATTTTATGCTTAACATTATTAAATTTACTTTGTTGTTACTTTTTTACATGAATAGGAGATTGAAATTATGAAGTGATATTTTGGCAATATGATGTTTTTTTATGTGTTATTTATGATGATAATTTTATATATGAGCATAATATTTTGATTAATATTGATATATATATATATATATATATATATATATATAATTATGATTATGATTATGGTGATGGGTAAGTTTAAGTTTGTAATAATGTACATTCAAGTGAATGCAAGTTTATACCTTTTTGTTGACTACCTCTAATAATTATATCTATTACAATATTAACGTTAATTGCTTTATTGATGTGTGGTAAGAATGGAAGTTTAGAATTGATGGAAAATGACTATATTAATTATGAATAAAATATATTTTTTGTGAATGTATCTGTTATTTCCTATTTTATCCACTCTAATTCAACATGCTCTACTAAAATGTATGACTCTTATTAGTCGGGCGTGATTGAAAATTATATGAAATAATAATTCTTGATTGGGAATCTAATATCATTTTCATGATTTAGCGGAGCATTGACGTACGTTATCATTAATTCACTTCTTGCAATGATAATTGGAGATTTTATAGAAAATGGATTTGTAATTTAATAAAAATAATAAAATTGCATTCCCTTGCTAGATGTGATGAAAACACTTATAAGCTTAATGTGTATTCAATATCCATTCAATTTGTCTAACCAAATAATGGCCTCTCTTATAACTATATATAATTTGGAAGCTTTATGTATTTAATTTTATTGTATTCACATAAAGTACATTGCGTTGCTTCCTTAAAATTAAGGACATAGGCAGGCACACACACACGTGCATGCGCGTGCGCACACACACACAATCATCATCCCATCTCTCACTTTAAATCTTAATTCCTCCAATACTTAATTTACCCCTATTGAAGATAAGCTGAGATTATGGCCATAAACCAAAATAAAAAGATCACACACATACTTTAGGAGGATATGTTACTTGAGCTTTCACTTTGTACATGAACCTACATAATTTGTGTCTAAAAGAGATCATAATCACCTTGGATATATGTCATCCATATAGTTTTATGACTTCCCTTGCATCACATTCTTTTAACTTAGTGAATATTATGGGGGGTCTAAGATTAAAAATGCACTAGGAGTTGATATTCTCATTGCTATGCATTGATCTAGTAAGGGAAAGATATTAGATTAGGAAAAGAAGATAAAATACTAATTTGTATATACATCATGCTTAATATTATACAACATTTGAATACAAAATGAAAAATAGTATTAAATAATGAATTTAAATATTATCTAATTTTATGCATTTATCTCCTATATTTTTTACATGCTACAAAAGAGGCATCTAAAATTTAATGCAAATTTTGAGCAAGAAGTTTCTCAGTGTCAAACTAAATACTTAAATGGGAAGAAGAAAATGATATTGGAAGTGATTAGATCAAGAGCCAAAATCAAAGAATTAATCATTATGAAAAATTTTAGACAAATTAATTAAAATGCTAATGTTAAAAATTATAAAGTAAACTTTATATTTATACTTAATGCTCAATAAAATTATATAGCTTTTGATACGTTAATGATAATTAATATAGAAAAAATTGACCTAGAATATTCTAATCAATTTTTTATTTTTATTTTGTTTCTCAAAACTATTAAAATTATTTAAATACGAGCATATAGTAAATTTTTTTTTAATTATCTGTCTACAACACTCATTTCTCGTGGAAAAAATATTACATCTGGACTCCGCACGTAGAGCTACGTGCGGAGTCCAATGAAATTACGCTGTGGAGGTGATCGACTCGGTAACACAAGGGAATATTCTTCTCGTGTTATTCAAGTGTTTTTGTGTGTTATTCAGGTGTTATTGTGTATTATTTCAAGTATTATTGATGTGTTATTATCTTATTATAACAACGGAAATATGCCCAGAACACAACAATACCTGAATAACATACAATAACACATGAATAACACACAATAACATTTGAATAACACGAGAAGAATATTCTCTTGTGTTACTGGGTTGATCACCTCCACGGCGTAATTTCATTGGACTCTACTACGTGCGGAGTCCTGATGTAATATTTTTTTCTCATCGTGAAGTAGCTCATTGACTTTAACATTTATTCTGATTAAACTTAAATCAGGAAAATTTCAGTAAGTTTTAATCTTTTTTTTTTTTTTTTTTTTTTTTTTTTTTTTGACTTCATCAGATTTTGTTAAAAACAGGTCTAAATACTAGAATTTAATAATTCATTTTTTAGATAAATTATTAGACTTGTTACATAATGGTAGTAATTGTCACGTTGCTTGTCTGATCAAAGGCAGAACCAATCTTTTTTTAGGGGTGCCCGATACTCCCTTAGACCCTAGGAGAACGAAGGGTAAAAATTATTTTCGAGAGGGGCAAAATTGATATTTCAGAAAAGTTCTGTGCACATGTCACAATCGCTCGGATTTGGCCAACATGATGTACGGTGGCATGGTCGAGTCCCAATCATTTGCTCGCAACTACTGACAATCACACTTAATATTTTCTCTTAAAATTGGCTTCATCTACTCACCAAAACTTTTGATCTTTTATGACACTTAGGGTCTGTTTGGGGGAGCTTATAAGAGAAGGTTGCGTTTTCAAAACGCCGCCGTACCGTTTGGTTTGCGCGTTTTACCAGCTTATCTGAAACTGCGTTTGGGTATTTACACTAAACGCAGGCCCCCAGGCAGCCGGCCCGCGGGCCGCGTTTTAAGATAAACATCTTATCCTGAAACGCACAAGCGCTGCTTATCTTGAAATGCACAAACTGCCCCAAATAGACCTTTAATACATTCTTGAGACCATGCAAATGATAATCTTCGGACCTTAAAAGTCTACTATGGACTTTTTCAAATAGAGCAAGAAAATGAGCGTAAATGGATGATAATTTTTTAAATAGAAAAATTATAATATTGTTTTATTTTGTTCAGACTAAGTGAAATTAAAATAATCATTTTATGGGAAAAATGACCAAATTTGCAATATCTGAAATTAAAGTTTTTTACAAATTATATTATGCAAAGTCAATATCATTAATTTTTAAAAGATCTTTTAAACCCCAAGCAACCAAATGAACTATGATGACCAACCTTAAAAGATTAGCATGAAAAAGAATCAAGCCAAGTTGGCTGCCTTTTATTTTATTTTATTTTGTTTTGTTTTGTTTCACACTTCAACACCAAAATTTTAATTTTTTACTTTTATATATATATATATATATATAGACAGACACACACAGACACACGCATGAAATCATGTATTTCGATTCTTAAGAGTGAATGTAGTGATATTATTAAGATGACATGAAAATTTTGGGAGGTAAAAAGTTGAGTGTTCGTTATATAATTTCCGAGGATATGAGAGAAAAATATTACATTAGCACTCCTAACGTAGAGCTACGTTCGGATTGAAATATTCGGTTGTGTTACGGGAATATTTCATATGCGTTATTTGTAAAAATGATGTGTTATTTGAGTATTATATGGTGTTATTCGATTATTTTGCGGTGTTATTGGAATATTTCATCGCGTACTTGATTTGGTACTTGATTTATTTCATCGCGTACTTGATTTGGGGTTATGTTATTCGGCATATTCCCCGTGTTATTTCAATTTTTACTATTTTATTGAAATAACACAACCCCAAATCAAGTAATGGGAGAGAATATTCCAATAACACTTCAACCCCAAATCAAGTAACGCGATGGAATATTTCAATACGATGGAATATTTCAATACGATGGAATATTTCAATAACACCGTAAAATAATCGAATAACATCATATAATACTCGAATAACACCTCATTTTTATAAATAACACATGAAATATTCCGGTAACACAGCCGAATATTTCAATTCAAACATAGCTCTACGTTAGATGTCATGATGTAAGATTTTTCCGGACACGAGTGGCAAGTACCCAAACTCCTAAAATATAATTAATATTAATTTATCAAAAGTAAATTTCAAGTTTATATTCATATTCATTTAAGAATGGGTTACCACATCAGAATACCCGATCCCCTTCCTGGTAGTCGGAAACATCATGAAAACCAAGCCAGCCAAAACCCCCGCACCAAGCGGCAGATTCACCAACAGCTCCTTCGCATCCTGCCCTGCTTCCTGTAAGAAACAGCTCTGTATATCCGCGTCGCTCATTGCAAGAGCCAGAAACACCAGCACTCCAAGCCCAGCATGCACCCAATCCACCCACCTCCTCCGTCGCCGCCGCAACTCCTCCTCCTTAAAAACCTTCCCTTTTTCCTCCTCCCCTCCATCGAAATTCAGCACGTAAAGCCCCTCCGATGTCGCCACGCCATAGTAAAGTCGCCCGTCGCGGCCGACCACACTGTCGGTGAAGGTGAAGAAGATGCAGGAGAGGACGCAGACGAAGATGAGGGCGGAGGTGAGGCATTGATTGGAGGTGTAGCAATGGCCTTTGTTGGAGAAAGAAGGGGACAGAGCTTGGAAGATGAGAAAGGTGCCGGTCGGGAGAAGCTTCGAGAGGTTGGCGGCGGTGGAGAGAGTCTTGTCCATGACCAGCATTTTTGTGGTTGGCAGTGCGGTGGGGGACGGAGGTGGTGGTGGCGGAGTGGCGGGACTTCGGGTTGGTTTGGATGGTGTGGTGGCGGGACTTCGTCTTTGTTCGATGAGTTCGGGGTCGATGGAGTAGTGGTGGCCGCCGGTAATTGCCGATGGGGGAGGGGCCGGGGGCGGTCGTTGGGGGGTAATTGCTGATGTGGCAGTGCCGGCGGCGTTGTTGGCGGTGGTGGTCGTGGTCATTGCTGCGAAGAGGTTGGAGGAGGGGATGGTATGGTAGGGTGGATGGTTTGGTGTTGTTTTAAATGGGGAAGGGGGGAGGAAGGAGATGGGGGTGTTGAGTATGTTGACTTTAATAACTTAAAAAAAAGATATTATGAGAACATTTAGATCAGTTCTTAAAGTTGGATTAAATGTTAAATTATAAAAAAGGTTTAAAGGTTCAAATTTTAAGAAAACAAGTTTTATGTAAATGATATAATAGATATACAAATTTTTTATTACTTAAATAATGTAATAATATGTGGCAAAAATAATGAGAATTATTTTATAAATTAGTACATCATCAAAGAATTCATTAATCAATTACCATATAATATGTGAACAAAAAATTATTAAAATTAAATAAAAGAAGATTGGAACTTCAATTTCAATAAGTTTAAAAATAATACAAATGTTTCAATAAGGCAAACTCAACAACACTAATATTTTTTGTATATAAAGATGGGGAAGAGTCAAAATATCTTCTTACACGAAAAAAATCTCTATCTATAGGAGAAGAAATGCAAGGAAGGATATTTACATTTCAAACCTCGCTATAAGAAGGGTCCACTATAAAAAATTGGCTTATTACCAATAGTCAAATGCCGTCGATAATAAAATTAAAACCGTATGAAATATAATTACTGATAGTCAAACTACGGACTATTTGATGTAGAAAAACTGCTTGTCAGTAATATATAATTGTCGATAGCCCAATTTCATTTGTCAATCACCCTCATCAACTCCCTTACTGCCGACAATCTCAAGCAATGCACCTTAACGACATTCTCCTCCTCAAATAGAAGACTGTTTCCTCTAGAATCCTCATAATCTGCTGATTTGCATCTATCTACCTAGGCCACCGCCTCGGCCACATGGCTCTTTCCGTTACCGTCTCCTCTCTTTCTTCAGCCACCCATCGCTCTGGCTGACCACTCTGCTACACCCCGAAACCATGGGGGAAGAAATAGGAAAATCTTATGTACATGCACAACACTCAATCCAGAAATTCAAAAAACTACTACTTCATTAAATTTTACTAAGCCTATGACAACAACATTAGAACTTGTAAACTAACTAAGATTTGGTAATGGGGACAGAGCAAAAGAAGACAATACAATTCATTTATAATTGATTTATCAGGTGATTCTAAGTGTCTATATATATTTTTATATTTCGATGAATTATAACAGTCACAAATAAAAAAATATCATTGAAGGCGACTCAAATTCTATTTGTTGTAACCACAATAGAAGAGCGGGTTTTGACTCATTCAATAAGGTTGTCCCCTTTGTTTTCCATTAGGTTTATGGTTAGCAAACATCAGGTTGTCATTCACTTTGTGTGGAAAATATATTGCAAAAAACTCTCGCTATCTTCACTTCTCTCCCCTTTTTGTGTTTACAATTGTGAGATACATTATAATTAAGAATTGCATGGATTTATGGATTGAAGAGTTCATTTACTTATAACCAACCACCACTAATTCTTAGCATCCATTGGGGTCTTTTATTTTATTCTTCAGTTAAGGCTTTATTGTAACATTTATGTATGACCTTTTTATGGCCACCATTTAAGATTGTTAATATCTATGTAACATCTCTTGAAGAGAAATACTTTTTCAACAAACAACAATAGATCGGCTGCTCCTGACGCCTCTACCAACGGTCAACCATTTACAAGCATGGATGATTTACATAAGACTCGATTCTTAAATATTTTCATATATCAGTTAATTTCTACACACTTGTATACTTACGTGCATACATCTCAATTAATTTGTTTCCAGCACTCGATGAACTCGAACTTGGGTAGAAAAATTGAAAACGACTCCAAGAGTGTTCGATTAGTCAAAGACATAATGGAAAAATCAATAATGATGCCCAGAGCGTCTGATCGGTCAAAGGATAACAAAACAACCGACAAAGGCGACAAGAGCATTCGATCGGGTGCAAAACTGCAAGACTCTCCTCCGAGTCAAGCATCTCCAAGACTTCTCTCCGGGGCGAGCAACTCTAAGACTCCCCTCCGGACATAGCAACATTAAGGCTCTCCTCTGAGGCGAGCATCACCAATACCCCCCTTCTGAGGAAAGCAACTCTAAGACTCCCCTTCGGGGCGAGCATCTCCAAAACTCCTCTTCGGGGCACGTAACTCTAAGACTCCCCTCTGGGGCGAGCACCTAAAAGAATCTCCTCCAGGGCAAGTATCACTATGACTCCCCTACGGGGCGAGCAAATACAAAACTCCCCTCTGGGACGAGCAATTACAAGACTCCCCACTGGGACGAGCAATGGTTAGACAGTTCCTTTGACAACCAACTTTTCATCCGACGGCCTACTCTTCCACTGATAGTCGATTATTCCTCGGACCAGCCATCGGAACTCGACAACTTCCTTCTGAGAGGAAAAATACTAGAATGACAAATTCAACATATGACAAAAAAAGATACGAGAACTAATGACAAAAAGCGCTAAGCATGGAGTGTCATTAGCAAGTTATGCATTCAAGACTTATTTGCTTTATAAATTTCCTTGCACTTATTATAGTTATCACTATCAAGAAACAAAAAAAAAAAATAGAAAAGCTTATACATATACTCAAAAATAATCTGCACAGATCTCAAGTAGTCGGCACCTCACTTTAGTCGACCGACCAAGCGCACTACTCTCCCTCAACCACCTTATTTAAATCGGCCAATAACCTCTCTACTTCGGTCTGCTAGATAGTCACACTAAAGCAACCATGATCTTCAGGAAATGCACATATAAGTCTCTTAATTTCTTATGTATTGAATGTCATCAGAACCAAGGCAAAAAAAATATGGACATGAAAGTCTGCATCGATCTCGAGACAATCCAACATCAAAATAAAAAAAAAAACTAAGATGCATTTTGCTTGTCTTTTCAAAATATAGTCAAACATGTGATTTTTGCACATTTTATTTCTCTTATCTTTTTTAGATACTAGGGCTTTTTGGTGTAAAAAAAGGAGTTTTTTGGCACTATCATTTGTAACATCTAATTTTATGGAATAAAATGAGTCAACGAGCCCAGAAATACTCAATTTTTTCCCCGACCGAGTAAAGTCCTCCTCTCTCTCTCTCTCTCTCTCTCTCTCTCACATTTCTCTCCCTCTTTCGGTGATCTCTCCTCGGTCCAACGCTCAGACAGATTTGAATTTAACAATTATAAAAGTTATAGCTAGTTTTTAAGCTTCTGCTTCTTCAAACAACGATAATTGCCCCAAACAAACTCTTAATTTCACGAATAACTATTCCATTTATATTTTAAAAATATTCTTTATTAAAAAAATTTTAATAAAATGCTCTTTTGAAAATTTGTACTCATCCTTACTTCAAGAGGATGAGCAGTACACACGTCAGCCGATGGTACTTGCAAATTGGCTAGCGGAATTTAAGTTGTTCGTTTATATGAGATCCATTTATTATCTAATTAATAAGGATATTCAACGCCATCATCTCTCTCAAGTCTTTTAACATTTTCGGCATACATTTCGTATTTTCCTAAACTTTTTTGGATTTACGTGTCAAGTCCAATAAAAACACACCACACGTGAAGGTCCGGTAACACGGAAAATATTTCCCCCGTATTATTCAGGTGTTATTGTATGTTATTCATGTATTATTGTATTCTAAGAATATTTCTGGTGTTATAGCAAAATAATAACACATCAAAAATACTTGAATAACACACAATAACACTTGAATAACACGGGAGGAATATTCCCTGTGTTACCGGGTCGATTTTTTTTTTCTTACCTTCACGTGTGTGGCGTGATTTCATTGGACTCTGCACATAAATATTAACAAACTGATATGTGGGCAAGATTTTGCTATTCTCATTTGAATATAAAGATTCAATACTATTTATATTTAGGCATTTCTAAAATTATTATTATTTTAAAATAAGTCATCTATTAATATTTAGATGGCTTGTTTGAGCAGTTAAAGGTGATTGATTGTTAGTTATCTGAGCCATTTCTTTGAATAACGGTCGCCTTTTGCTTGAGGAAGACGATTCTCTTTCTCATGAAGTCTTCTATATTTTATTTTCCTTGATGCTCATAGAAAATGCATTGTGATGACCATAAGTTTCTCTTCTTTGACTTCTCTTCTCAAATTTATATCATAAATTTATTGAATCTGAATTGTTCATGAAGCCACATCACCAAGGTTAGAGCTTGTGGACAAGGGAGAAAATTAGGGTAGTGCCTCAATTATAGTAAATAATAATATGGTGTTTTTTTTTTTAATTTTAACTTTGGCCTCCCAATTATAGATTTGAGGCGATGTTGATGCTACATAGTTGGCTAATGTTAACCTGTTCTTTCTTTGAGGTCTATCATATCATTTTTCTCTCTCTAGAGCTTAGGATCTAGTCTTAGGGTTTTCCCCAGTGGCTCTCTTAGAGCTTAGGTTTTCCAAGTTACAATGCTGACTGATGGCCTCTGGTCAGTGGTGGTCGACGGTGATTAGTGGTTATCGATGGCGGTCAAAGGTCGATGATGGTCGGTAGTGGTTGATGTTGATAGTAGTGCTCGACGACAGTTGGTGGTTGTCGATGGTTGTCGGCAGTTTTCAACAGTGGTCGACAGTGGTCGATAGTAGTCGAAAGCGATCGGTGGTAGTTGGTGGTTGTCGAGGGGGTCGGCGAGTGTCGACAGCGGTAGGCGGCAGTCGACAGTGATTGACGGTGACAGGGGTGGTGCTGGACTTCAGCTCCTTCTCAAAACTTTAAATTCTCTTTCTAACTTCCAGCCCCCTCTCATGAGAGGGATGGGGTTCTATTCACAGTGTTATGGGTGTAATGAATGCACGGATATGAAATACTGTGATCAGACGGTCTGGAGGGCTTCCTTCGATCAAACGATGTTTGATGAACATTTGAGTGCCTAAATGAGGTCGGAATTGAGCAATCTTGGGCTCGTTGGATTCGACTTATTGAGACGCTCAAATCGAATATAGGTTGCTAGATTCAACATTCGTTTAACGCTCTAGATATGTATGAAAAACTTCAAAGAGTGGTTTAATGACTTCATCTAAGCTTGATTTGACTATGATTGGACTAATTTTGGTAACATTGGGTTTATCTTGTCAAGCTGGTCAGTTTAACGATAAGTTTGTTGAAATCAGAGCTCTAGATGATTTGAATATTTCTTACTCAAAAGGCCGCATCGAGTAGATGTATCGATGTATATATAGGTGAGTGTGTATTTGTGTGTATGTAATTCATTGTCTATTTATTACAAGTGATTAAAGTCTCAAACTTTGAATTCTAATGAGTAAAAAAGACTTAAACGATATTAAAAAAAAAAATTAGGTTTTAGTGTTCGATATGTAAATATATAAGAATTGGGAGGTGAGATTCACGGCCGGTATCAATATCTTTTTATTCAAAATTACCCATGCAATGAACACCCCCAACGGTCACCCAACACTGAATCGTCCCAGAATAATCCGAATCATCTCCGCCGTCCGTTTTTCCCTGCTCCATCAGATTCTAGTTCGGCGCTGCCCGAAGCGGCCCGCTCCTCTCCCCTTCGGTATCCCCCGCTGCAGCTTTTTATCCGGCCGTTCATTTTTGTCGCTCTCCTATAAAGCAAACGCCATTGTCACTATCTGCAAATCCAAAACCCTAAATCTCTCCTCTCATGGCGAAGAAGAACCGTATACCCTCGACTGAAGCCCAAATGGAGAACCTTAAAACACTTAATAACCGTCTCCTAAAGGTGGCGGCAGATGGCCGTAAAAAGAACGAAAAGCTCCGCTCCGAGCTAGCTTCATTGGCTGCCGACCATGAAATCCTTGATGTCACTGAGCGTGAAGTCTTTAGGTTAGTCCTCTCTGAAGCGACTGCACGCACTACAGAGATGACGGGGAAGATGCTGAAGAAGGCTGAGTTGGCTGCTACTGAGCTCCATGAGGCGGAAAGGCGGCTGCTTGCTATGGCAAGAGAGAAGGATGAGGTTAAGAGCTTTCTGGAGCGCACAGCGAAGGAAAGAGATTTGAGTCGGAGTGATCTTGATGAGAAGAGGAAGGAGGTGGAGGAGTTGAAAACATTTATTCCGTCCTTGGAGCAAGTGCGGAAGGAGAAGCAGGTTGCTGATGCCAAGTGCGGAAAGCTTGAAGAAGAGTTGCAATCTGCCATGCATGAAAAGGATTTTTTGGAGAGAATCCTTGAAGATAATAAACAATTGGTAGAGAAATTAGTAAGAGAGATGGTGCTGATGAAAATTGAAGAAGGTGTTGATTTTGATGTTTTGAAAACTGAGAATGAAGAAAATTGCTCAAAGATTTCTGCTTTGGAAGAAGAGCGTCGTTCTCTGAAGGAAGTTAGAGGTGAACTGGAAAATGAACTGTGTGGCATGAAAGTTTCTGTTAAAAAACTGGAGGAAGAGAAGGTCGAAGCTTGGGAGGATCATAAGAGGAATATGACTGAGTTAGGCCGTTTAGAGAAGGAGAAGTTAGAATTACAGAAGAAATTTGATTTGAAGGAGGAAGAAACGGCCTTGCAAATGAATGAGTTGAAGAGGAATATGACGAAAATGGCAGCTGAGAAGGATTTTGTTGATCAAGCCAGCGCTAAATATGAGATTCAGATCAGTAACTTGCAGGCAGAAATATCAAAGCTCCAATCCGCTAGAAAGAGCCTTGAAGATGCCCATAGCACTTGCAGTGAAAAACTAGCCGTTATAGAAGACAGCCGTGCTGCAATGCAGAGAAAAATGAACCAGGCTGTAGCTCAGGAAATGCTACTACAGAAAAAACTAAATCATCTCACTACAGAGAATGTGGACACAAAGAAACGCATAAATTCATTGATATTTGAGAAAGCTTCTCTTGAGAAGCAACTTGAAATTTCAAACCAAGGACTTCAGGATATCGAGAAGAAGCTGAAGATCTCAGAGGATGCTTCCAGCCAAGTGTGTTCTCTGTTGAAGAAGATGACTGCTGAGGTAATGGATGCTGAGAGAACCCAAGCGAATTACAACAGTAGAGAAAGGGGATTAGAAATCGAGAACTACGAGGAAATTAAGCTGTTTGTGGACAATTTGGATGCTATAAAGCTAGCAATGAAGGACAAAGACGCAAGGATTAAGGATCTAAACCAAGGGCTGGAGCTCCTGCAGGTATCTGTTACCTGTGGAAAGAGCAAATGGGGAATATGGAAGTGGCTTTTTCCTGCTACAACTACCATCTTTGCTGCTGTCTCCTTGGCCTATGCTGCAAGGGCACGCTAAGTTCCTCATTCTGTGACTTGGAAACCTACGTTTTGTTGCGTTCTATAAGCTTTTATTTTGATGATTGGCAAAAATCATTAGTTATAGAAGACAATTAGAGTCTGTTCCAGTTGGTAACTACATTTTATGCTTTGATTTACTACAATACTCGTAACCTGACATGGATTACAATTTCTCACTCATTTTGGCCAGTTGACATTCAAAATTTTAGTGGTTAATCCTACCAATATATTGCGTCAGTAAATCATATGGAATTTTGTAAAAGAAAACAATAGTTCTGGTTAAAACAACACTTATGATAAAATGATAAAAAGAATAAATATTTGAAGGAGAAATAATAAAAAAATTATTCGGCAGAAGATATAATTGTCAAATATTTTTATTTTAAATACATTTTAGATTAATATATATTTTTTTAAAATGAACAACTTTACAAGCTAATAAGTAGAGTTTGACTCTAGCATAGCTTGTAAGTTCCTTGAGTTAGGCCCAATTACATCCCTAAAATTTGACCATCAAAACAAACACAGAAATAGACATTATTTTAAATACTATAAAAAAAGCTTTCAGCTGACCAAATATAGACAATGTATAAATCTTTAAAAAAAAATCCCAAAGCCCCAAATACATTATGCTTAAAATTTAACAGCAGGCATCATTGTATTTATGCCTGTCGATTAATGCTTGAATATGAAGCACTTGCGCTGAAATGGTATTAGACAACAGATACAAGAAATGCTCTGAGCATGTTCCTTTAATTTACCGATGCCGCCGCCTCCTTTTTGGTAAGATGGGTTGGGAATCTGTCCCCGGGAATTCCCATCTACCGACAATGCCGTCCCAAGAGGAGCTGACGAGAATAGGGTAGGAAGCGTGCCAGCTACAGTCTCTAACGGTCGAGCTGCCAAATTCAAGTTTGGCAACTTGGGCTCCAGTGATCTGAAATTGTTTAGGCAAAGACAATGAGAGTGACTTTTACATTTATACTACCCAAATCTTTCTTATCACATAAAAATTATCACTTTTTCTTTTTTTTTATAAGTGAAATGCACTTTTTCATGCATAGAAAAGGTGGTATGTTATGTAAGAATTGAAGTTTGGGTGTTACATATGTTATGTAGATACGTAGGAATTGAGAGGTATGAATATCTTCATAATTATTAAGTTTTTGTCTTCAGTGGCAATAATTTGTCTTTTGAGTAAATAGCAAGATTATCTAAGGGCTGAAAGCTTTTGTGTGGAAAGGTAAAGCTACGTGCAAGGCAATGGTTTCAACTAACAATGGTGGTTTACTTTGGAATGAGCTCATTTATGTCATTCATGGTTACATTAAAAAACTATTTAAGTGGTATTAGGAGGTTGGCAATAGCAATGATTATGGTTTATAAAGTTTGACCTTCGTTATAAAGTTTTAAATTCTAACCCTCCAAACTTAAAAAGCCATGCTTTTGTTGGCATCCGAAATTCTCAGTGTAACAGATCCAAAATAGCTAATCGATTAAAACATTCACTTCGTCCATCATTATTGCTTGACATTTAACAATTTAAACGCCAAAAATTCGATCTATCTATTCTATTCTCACTCAATAGAACCCCTCATCTTTTAATAACTTCGCAATTAGTAAGAGCCACAAAAGTTATTGCTAATTGAGAGATAACACAAATCATTGGAGGAAAGGAGTGCGAAGGCAAGCAACTTTTGGCTCTGAAAGTCAATAATCATTCCTTCCATTCAAACATTCATAAGGTGTGTATACATATATAGGCACGTTACACTGAGGTCATTTAAAAAAAAATATATTACTTCAAAAACATTCCTACTAGCAACAAAACATGAGACATACGAATTTACTGTAATAACGTCGGTTGTCGGTTATATGGTTCCATGAACCATATAACTGTCAAATATATAGAAAATCGTGCAAATAAAGGACAGAAGAAAGGTCTGATAGCATACCACTTCATAGATGTAAACGCATCCATCATGGGATCCTGAATAAATATACTTCTGACCAGTGCTGCATGTGCCAAGGGTTTGAAATAATAATAAGAATCAATTTTTTACAATTACAAAGCAGAAAAATTCATCTTCATCTGTAAAGAACAATCACGTACTTTCTAAAAAATTGCAGAGGATAAAACAGAATATAAAGTCAATAAATTAATGGCAATAAGCTTCAGCATAATTTCATGAAGGCAATTCCAAAACATGATTAGCGTCGTATATATGGTGGAAACTATTACTCACTTGTGGACAGGGGAAAAGTGGCATCGTATCAAAGTACATAATACTGCATGGCCTCTATAAGTGGCTACAGACTGATCTCTTGGATGTCTCGATTTGTTTGCTCTCGATGGGTATGCCATATATCTATAGTCCCAATGAGGACCTCTTCTCCTGAAGCTGCCATATTCAGCAATAATAATATTAAGTCAGCCACACTGTGAGTAAAAATCATGAAAGCCAGTAATAGATCCAGCGGCTAAAAAAGTAAAAACAAAAATTATAAAGAAGCAAAATCGTTTGAAATGGGAAAAATGGCTTCGGCTGTTCAATTCCAATGAGCAATTCAGCACCACATCAACTTGATTACAAACATCAAGTACTGAAAAAAGTAGTTTTTATATCTCAGAAACTTTTCACAAGAGGAAAAAGGCTAACACAAAAACATGCTTCGATAGGATGGAAAACAAAACCAATACAAGTAGGGCATATTTTTTCTCTTCAATAATTATGTATCAACTCCTTCGATTGGAATCTAGTAAGGCTATCTGCACTTTTCGTCGTCTGTTGCCCTATAAAGCCCTCTTTCCTGTTTCATGGTCTTTGTTGTCCTTGAAGTAGCAAGGGTTGCTAGTCCTCTTAGCAAGAAGAAGTTTGGGGAATGGGTGGTGACACTATTCTAGAGTTCCTAAAGTTTATGGAATAAAAAGAAAATGAGGATTTGAGAAGTCGACAGTGTTTGGAAAGGAATGAAAAACGATTGCTGGTTGTCCAGGCTGAAAACAACCGAAAGAACTACGAAAGATAGCTTCTATGAGGCACACTTGGCTATTCCAAAACAAGCTGCAAAGACATGGCTTACTAAAAGAAGAGGATACAACACTTTTTAGAATAGAAGTCAGAGATTACAATCTCCAAATACACAAAAACAAAGTAGAAGTCTATAAAATGATAAAATAATAACCTAGAAATAGTTCCCAAGCAAAAATAACCTAAAATGTTGATATTTTCAATTGTTGGACTTTATATCCTTCTATGCTTTCGAATGAAAAAAGTATACCATATAAGTAGTTTTCGGTCAAAATAGTTGGATTTTTATCTAGCAAAAATGAAAATAAACAAAATTTGACATCAGTAACACCTACTATTCAGGTTTGGAGGACATTCTGCGGACATCCCACATTTTCGTAGTCTGATCTTTGCCATTTGAAATGAAGTACCGACCATCTCCACGGCTGTCAATATACGTAATTCCTTCTATATGACCTGATAAGGCCCCTGCTGCTTTGCTATCCGAAGTAGAGCAACGCATGTCCCAAATCTGAAGATTATTAAGTTCAGATAAAATTAAGCAACTCGAGGGAGCCAAGATATATCTAAATATAAGCAAATTTCAACGTCATACTGAAATGCTGCACTAAATTAATACGATGACTCAAACAATGTAAATGAAAACTACTATAATTGAGATGAAAATTGTAGGTTTTGGGAAGAGAATAATTATTCCTCTTCAATTTCATAGAAAATGATTGCAACATAAATAGAAGGAAATGACTCCCACATTAGACTAATAAAATCAGTCATAACTTCTCATGATAAAAAAAAGAAACATGAATGATGACATACCAATAATTCTAAATAGAAAAAAAATAATTGAATATACTAATAAACAATTTCACTAAAAATCGAACACTCCTCTTATGTCTGAGCATAGATATCTATCATGCCCAACTTACTTACAAGAAGCTCAAAATTAGGTTTAAACAATCATTTAGAGAAGATATATACCATTTGTTGAGCAGTAAGGATAAATGACATGCAAATAGCTCCACAATCAATCTTCACTTTATGAAGTGTCTGTCCATCTCCACATGCTTTGTGCTATCATATTTGCACTAGATTTTCTGCAATGCTTACGGCCACTTTAATGTCACAGTATAAGTTCATCGGCATGCTTATTGAGACCAGCCACTCTTCAAGAATTCTTTTCAACCAAAAAATTTCACATACTTCATCAATCACAACCCTATATTCTACCTTAGCACACTCACTGCAATCAAATTATGTTTCTTACGTCACCATATAACCAAGTTTCCCCACATAGGTGCAATACTAAAATTTGATCATGTCAATAACTGAGCCTACCCAATCTGCATTAGTGTATGCATCTATGCTCTTTTGTGGGGTCCTCTGAGGCTTTCTTAGTATACCTTTTAGATATCTAAGAATTATGTTAACTGCTTCAAGGTGTTTTTCATAGGGTGAATGCATAAAATGACTTACTAAACTCACAGCAAATGCAGTACATGGTCATGTATGTGGTAAATATATCAACTTTTCCACCAATTTTCGATGTCAAACTATATTCATTAGATCGTCTTCCTTACCATCTCCCAATTTCTAATTGGGATACATTGGAGTGCCTGCATTCCTACACTCACTCAACCCGGTTTCCTTGAGTGCACCAGGGAAAGGGTTGATATTCATGAAGGAGCATGTAAATGATGAAGATTTTTGTGATTCTGACAGGACAAATTGTGTTGATGACATATGATCAACATCAAGATATTGCATGTTTGGCAACTTGGTCTCATGGAAGAGCAAGAAACAGTCTCTTGTAGCAAGATCAACAGCAGAGGCAAAATACAAGGTCATGGCATTAGGAGTTCCTGAGATGATGTGGTTACAAGCCTTGTTTGTTGAACTCAAAGTGGGTCAGTGAACTCAAATGAAGTTGTGGTGTAACAACAAGTCGACAATCAGCATTGCTAACAATCCGGTGCAACAAGATAGAACTAAACATGTGGAGGAGATTAATAGATTCTTCATCAAGGAGAAGCTGAACAACGGATTGTTGAAACTAAGTCATGTGGTAACTGGAGAGCAGGTAGCTGATAGCCTCACTAAAGGACTTAGTTCAGTGGAGTTAGCTAGATTATGTGACAAAATGGACTGAGTGAACATTTTTCGCCAATCTTGAGGAGAAGTGTCATGAGTTGTGTAATTAGAGGGATTTATTGGGATCATTTTTAAAACATTGTAAAACCTATTTATACACATGTTGAATAAAATAGTAAGTTTTTCAAAAACAATCATTTTCTTTTGAAACACAGCGGACAAATAGTTCACTCCCATCTTTTTTCACCGGAGGACAAAGATTTACAGTATACTCCCAACATGATGATGCAAAAGGAGATTTTTGCACTTTCAAGTTGGGGGTTCTTTGCAAGATGTACAAAAACGTGATATTGTTACATGCTGTAAAACAAATTTTAATATTCAATATTATTATCATGCAAAAAAAATGATAGGCATGAATGCTTCCAAATGAACTTATCAACGAAGCATTTGCATGCCGGAAGGCAAATTGGGTGAAAGGTAACCCAGTTCTGAAGAATGTTGGATTGTTCCAGCAATTTTTCCATGATGCTTCGATTTAATGGAGAGCACAGGTTTTGCTTCGTTTGGCTCAATACAAACTTTACTGCCAACGTTTTTTTTTTTTAACTTCACTGTAACTTGTTTAAAGGTTTAGGTGACAAATTCGAATAAGAAGATGATGCAAAACAAACACAGCAGACAAAAAACTACACTCCCAACATGAAGATGCAAACACCCTAATTTGTTTCTCCCTTTAAAATATAATTTAGATGAGATGACAACCATCATCTCTTACATTGGCTAAAGGATAAAATCCACCGATAGCCTCATATTGCTGTTAAGGACATTCATTTAAAACTTTAAGCAGATTCTCATTAACCAAATTATGGATTGGTAGAGTGCAGGTGTAATTTATAATTAAAGATAACAAAATATATTATTATGTGTAGAACTTATTTTATAAATATTTCATTGTAATTATGGATGCATTGTAGATTTACCAATGATTGAATTCCAAAATAGGCTGCACAGCAACTTGCTCAGTTTAGAAGATATTTGCTGAGGATTGAAACGGTTCTACGAGGTTTAAAAATCTTTATTTTTTAAAGGCATGATTCCTTATTGGAATTGGCATGTTTTTCCGTGCATTGCACCGGTTGGCTTGCTAGCTTAACAACTATGATTGGTGCAAAAGACAATAAAAGGGATACAATTCAATTAATTACACGGCCCATTCTGTTTGCACGGTACATTGATGCAAACAAAAAAAAAGTTGCAAACAAAACTTTTTGGAGTAGCATTCCTTATTTCAGTAAAGCTTAACTAAAAGATCGGAGAAAACATCCAAATATCCGGCCATGCTCAAAACGAAATTTTTAACCAGGAGAAATTAACGATGGCAATAATCAGAAAGTACCTTACAGATACCGTCATCACCACCTGAATATATGATATTACCAGTTTCATCAGCAAAGGTCACTGTGTTCACGTCGTCCTAGAAAAAGGGAAAAAAAGAAACAGAATAAATCAAAAGCATCCTTTAAATTTCGACAAATGGGGATTTAAAGCTACTGAATGGGATCATCAGCAATCTCCTGCTTTGATTGTTTTATGTCACTAACCTCTGAATGTAAACTGTTGTAAAAAAAGTAGCAGCCAGGAAAATTTAAATTGCTCATTCTTTCAATGGATATTCATATACAAAATTACATGGAAGAAAAAAGGAAATAAATAATTCAAAAAAAAAAAACACAAAAACATGCCTCCAGCTATCCGCCATTTGATCATTTAAGGATTATCGAGTAGTGTGAAGGTAGCAATTTGTGGGCTCTTTCTTACCTATTTGCATGTGAATAAATGAGAGAGCTATTTTCTTATAAGCAATGAATTCATGACATCTAATTATTCTTATCAAGCTTCTTTGTTGGCCCTTCTTGATCCAATAGCTCTTCAATATTTCTCCTCTACTAGATCATAGAAATCTACCATCCCGATATTGTCGACAAATTTCTCGAATGTGGGGCCATATGATGGAGATGTCAAAAAATCAACTTTTTATTAAGACATGAAGTACAAATCAATCTAGTTTCTAATTTTTCTTTTATAAAACATCCATCAACTTCCACGTATTTAGTACGATTATATTGTAAAAACTTGTGAGTAATATTGATGATAGATTTGTTATTACATTATATCCTCATTGTGACTTTTAAGTCGTCCAGTGTGATCTTAATTCATAGAATCTCGCAGATTCCTTGTTTCAACAGCCAGCATCTAGATGGACTTTGCTAAGATATAGGAGATTGTGAATTATCTCAGCCCATAATTGTTCACTCAGGTACGCCAATTCCATGGACCTGTTTCTTCTTATATGAAGTTTAAAAGAAGTTTTAGCTCTATAGCAGCCCTCTTGCGGAGCTTCTCATATTAGAAAGAGTCATTTGTTCAGATGAAACAAAGATTAGTTTTGATGCTTTGAAACAATAAATTAGATTCCCATTCTTTGTTTTAGGTTGAGTGTAATGCATCTAATGCAAGGATTGGAGCAGCGTTGAGTCAGGGTGGATACAATGTTGTTTGCTTTAATGAAAAGCTGAATAATTCTAGGAGAAAGTACTCGCCTACAATAAGAAATTTTATGCTATTGTGAGAGTTATCATACCATCAGAGTTAGTGCTGAAACTCTCAGGTACAGAGCTGTACTGATGCAGACAGCATGATGATTTTTGATCAAATATTTTAAGTAATTACATATGTAAATAAATAACCAATGGATCTTATATTCTTTCTTTTACCAAAATTAGTAATTAACAGAATATTTATATAATCAAAATGTACTTACTAGCAAGCTTGTATCAACTAAATTTTAAGTGATTCTTTGCTCATGAACAGTAAGATAGGAAGACTTTATAGTGCATCTCAAACATTAATCTACTAAATAAAAAAGTAGACATACAAAAAAATTAAAAGATTTGTTTTCCTATATTAAAATTTTTAAATTTTATCCACTTGATGATTTACCCCATTAAAAATGACTCCCCGAAACATCTTCCTTTTGTAAACAACCATAAAATCACTATAATTTTAAGTTTAAAAACCCACATTCACAAATTGAATTGATTTATTAAACGAATACCCAAAAATTCAAATTTAAATTAAAATCAACTTTCTTTTTTCCCCTGCTCTCTCTTTCCTCTTTGCATTTATCGTTCTCATCTCCATTTCTTCTTCTCTTCTCATTTTCTTTTTTTTTTTTTCACTTCATCTCCTCCTTATTTTTCTTCAATGCTTCCCTCATCTCTGTTCTCCATCACGATTCATCTCCAGGAATTCTCGGAATAAGAAATGAGGATAATTTTTTAGTAAATTTAAGCTCAACCATCCTTTTAACCCTTCACTGTTGCATGTGCTGCAAAGTGAAAGTTCAGGTTTTCACAATAAATTACATTAATTAAACTACAGTAATATTTAAATAAAACTTAGGTTAATGATTTTATAAATAAATTAATTCATAAAAAATTATACATATACATGTATATGTATCGATACATATATATATATATATATATATATATATATGTATATATACACATATATATACACATATATGTGTATATATACACACATATATGTGTATATATACACACACATATATATATATATAGACACACATATATATATATATACACACACACATATATATATATATATATATATTATGGCGTCGTCAGCGGCAGTGGGCTCTAGTTCGGTGCTCCTGCTTAGCCGCTCTGGAGATAGCCTCAGCGATCCGTTCCCATACCACTACACTTGTCGGCGATTTTCCTATTCCTACTCGTGCTCCTCTTTTAGATTCAAAGTCTGGTTTTCGTATTGGCAAGTCCTGCAATATTCCACAATCTTTCCACGAAGCACTTGAAGATGGAGGGCTCTTGAAGGTGACGGGCTCTTGAAGGTGACGGTGATCAAACTTTCATTAAAAAGCTTGGTATAAAAAATGGAAAGGGGAAGTCTGCTCTTATTCTCACTTAGGTTGAAACTAGTACTCTCGCATCTTCTTGGTTTTTTGCTATAGTGGGGAAATTCTTTTATGATCACCCAAAACTTGAGATCATTCGAACAGATTTTGATGCTATGAAGCTATTGGGCAATTGGAATATTGACTTACTTGACGGTCGACATATACTTATTCAGTTATCTCACGATACCAATTACACTCGTATTTTTTCTTGAAATGTTATCAAGATCGACAACCGTTTTATAAAAATTCTGAAGTGGACAGTCGATTTTGATCCAAAAGTAGAATCTCCTATTATTCATGTTTGGATAAAGTTCCCGAGGTTAAAATTACATCTGTTCAACTTAAAAATTCTCTACTTCTTAGCAACTGTTTACGGTAAGCCTCTCAAGTTTGATAGTCATACATTTGTTATCACCAGACCCTCTGTGGCTTGTGTGTTAGGTTAGAGATATATTAATAGAGATATATCACTCAACTGATTCCGGATGAGGTATGGATTAGAACCATTCACAACGGGCATTGATAAAAGGTTGAAATAGAACCACATTCTCCTTATTGCTCTTATTGTAGTATGTTTGGTCAAAGTTCTACTATTTGTTATCGCTTGCATCCTCATCTAAGGTCAGATATCGTTAAAGATCAACCACCTACCATCACTGCTGAGAAGGTGCAAGTCGATCCTCTATCCAACACCGCAGTTCCTGATGAAAAACATCATACTACAGGTACAGATCTAAACACACTTATACCACTCACTGTTATTGAAGAAGACTCACTTACATGCCAAGACACGCGAGAGTGCTCCTTTGATCCAATAAAAGATCGGATGGTACAACAAGTATTTGCTTCTAATGTTCAACAACCTTCACATGTCCGGCTCATTTTAGACCAATCTACTGATCAGGTGAGTCAATCTTCAGATGAGAAATGACAAGTCTATTCCAGGAGGAAGAAGAAGAATGGAGGCCGACTCAAGCTCGGGAACTTAGGAACTTATTGGATGATACATTGGTTACTACTGGCAATGACACTCATCTTACCAATTTATTAACTGGCTCATTTACTAGAACTAGAAGCAGAGGCAACGAAAAATTGGGTCGCTCTCTAGCTACCTGATACTACGTATTTTGATACTTTTGATTTTTTTTAAGTCTCTCATGTATTTTTCTGTATTTTCTCTTTTTGGAACCATTTGCATGTAGAAGTTATCGTGTGGGTAGGGTATCATGCTTGGGCTCTCTCACACAATCTATCTGTATTCTTCTTCATTTTTAATATATTAACTTTGGGCTTTCTCATAAAAAAAGTGCATAAATATGTGTGTGTGTGTGTGTGTGTGTGTGTGTGTGTGTGTGTGTGTGTGTGTGTTTATATATATATATATTTCACACGTCGTCTCCTCCTTCGCGCCAACGTTTCGTCTTGCCTGACGTCAAAGGGCTTCGGCGTCGTCTCCGTTGGTCTTTGTCGAGGCATCGTCTCTGCGATTCGTGTTTTCTGCGCGGCGTTTCGTATGTCTTCGAACACCTCGTTTAGTTGCGCCTGTTTCGCGGCTTCACCCCGACCATCTTCGGCTCGTCATTTTTGCTCTCTGCCCGACTTGGTAGGCTTTTCGTTATTGTGATGAAGTTCCCTTCTTCGGTTGAACCTGACAAAGCCTCATTTGCCCACGTGGTGGGTAATCCTCAGGTGGAGTCGACAGTTGTCTTTCCTTCAAGTTATAAAGAGTATCGTGATGGTATATGTGACTGATGACTGCCCCTTTATTAAAAATGCAACTAGGAAAAGTGGGAAAGCAGCATTTTTTTTCTCTGAGATAGAAATTTCATCACTGACGAAGAAATTCAAGTTCGCTCTTATTAGAAAATTTCAGTGGGGGCAACCACTATGGAAGTTATCAGGATAGATTTTAAAGATCTCAAACTAGCAGGAAAGTAGAAAGTGGGGCTTATAGATGGGATACATGCATTGATTCAATTAACCGTGATTGAAGACTACACTCGGATTTTCGCCAAAAACTATCTTAAAATTGCAGACAAATTAATGAAGTTACTCAAGCGGTGTCCTGATTTTGACATCAATCATGAATCTTCTACTGTACTGGTATAGTTTAGTCTACCCAGTCTCAAGCTGTATTTTTTTCATCATCAGGTTCTCTACTCTATTGGGGTCATACTTGGGGACCCTATGAAGTTAGATTTACCCACTTTCAACCTAACCAGACCTTCTGTGGCCAAAATACTTGTCGAAAGAGATATTACTTTACTTGATGTTACTAAAATCTGGTAAGGCACAACTCATAATGGATATTGACAACAAATCATCATGGAGCATAGACCGTCTTATTGTTCTCATTGTAAGATGTTTAAACATACCCTTGGTAAATGTCATAAACTATCCTAATTTGAAATCTAAAGTTCAGGTGAATAAGTACGGAGTTTCCACTGCTCTGGACATATTTGTTCCACCTGGAG